TATCCTGGTTCATTATCACTATTGTTATCATCTTAGCAAATTATCCTCAGTAATTCTCAAATCTTTTTTGAATTAGTGGCAGCAACTCCCAAAGAAGAAGAGGAATCATAGGAGGTCAGGAAGCACAGTGATCATGGTGTGGAAACTGCACCTTTCTACCTTGTTAAAATGTATCTCAGGACTATTTTTTGACTATTGGAGTAATAGCAGTGTCTGTTATACAAGGAAGAATGGATTAAAAAAGAAAAAAATTCAGATGCAGAATATAGAGGAAAGTCAACAAAGCCAAGATACCTATTTTGCTGTACTTCTATTTATCCTTAATTCTCTAGAATAGTTTTCTACTTTACCTGGATGATTCATTCTTTCTCTTATCTCTGCTAATCATGTCTGCACAGTACACTTGAATTCTGTTTGAATATCTTTATTACCCTTAGTGTCCCCAAAGGTTTCCCCTTACCCCAGTAATAGTACTGGGATTGATCTCAGGGACTTCATTCTCACTCCCCCTGCCCCACCCCAGTGTTATCCTATGTCAGTCATACCTCTACTTCCAGTTTTGTTTTTATTTTGCTGTCTGAATAGAGCGAAGAATCTCCTGGTTTAGTCTGCCTAGGCTGGCTTGAAATTGCAGTTCTTAGAGCTCAGCCTCCTGAGTATCTAGGGTTATGGACCTGAATCACTACTGACCAACTCCCAAGGATCTAGAAGCTATGGTCAAGTTAAAGAATAGATACAGAGATTTAGGAAAATCCACAATTGACTAACTACCCTGGCTTAGAGGTAGTTAGGGACTTGCCAGTTGTGTTTATTTCAGAGTAAATATGACAATGAAGAGTCTTGGCTAACAGTGACCAAGGTTTTTTGTTGTTTTTTTTTTTAAAGTGTGCCAATTTGTGCACTGGTGGAATTTTATTGGCTCAACCAGGAAGGGGTTTGCTGCATTATGGGAGGGTAAGAATTGCAAGGACCTACCAACAATTGGAGTCAGAAGCCTGAACTCCACTTGAGGCTCCGCCTCCTGCTACTGCTCTTCTGCTGGTCAGATCCAGACTTGATGTCAGAGCAGCCAACAGTACCCAAACTGTGCTCTTCATGGACCTCACTGAGAGACTATACAGTATGATACAATTTTAGAAGCATCCTAGTTGTATGGCTTGGGTGAGACCACTCCTGGCTTACTCAACTGAAACATATAAGACTGGGGCAGATATCGAAGAAAACATTTATTGCCATGGAGACCTAACTCATCTCCAGGAAAACAGAGAGTTAATTGGCTCACAGGAAGATGATCTGTTTTAATGGATTCTAGCCAAAATGACCTAAAAGATACTTGTTAAATTGACCTAGATGATCTCTAATTCCACATCCTATAGTTTTACAATTTGAGCTATTATGTTGATGCATTACTTAAATTGTCAAATATTGTATATATTATGGTGTATGTATATATAAAATGATGCTTTGAAATATGACTGAATTGAGCTAAGCATTATTTCACATACTTACTAATCTTTTTTGTGGTGAGAATAAGTCAACTTTCAAGAACAATGCATACTAACTACAATCGCCGAGTTGCACAGTAGAGCTCCTAAACTTACACTTTTTAACAGAAATTTTATTTCTTTTGACCAATATCTCTCCAACCCTTCAACCCATCTAAACTCCTGGTAACCTCTATTCTACTCTGCTTCTTTTACTTCAATTATTTTTATTCCACATGAGAATGAGAGCATGTGACATTCTTTTTTTGCTGTCTGGCAGTGTATATAATAATCTCAAGATTCAACTATGCTTTAGATGGTAACAAGATTTCTAAAAAATAAAAAAATAAAAAAAGTACTGAGCTAGGCACCAGTGGCTCACACCTCTAATCCTAGCAACGCAGGATGCTGAGATCTGAGGATTGGGTGTGGTTCAAAGCAAGCCTGGGCAGGAAAATCCATAAAGCACTTACCTCCAATTAACCACTAAAGTGTCAGAAGTGGAGCTATGATTCAAGCAGTAGAGTGCTAGCCTTGAGCAAAAAGCTCATGGACAGCACCTGGGCCCTGATCTAGGACTAGCACCAAAAAAAAAAAAAAAAAGAAAAGAAATGAAAAGAAAAGAAAAACCTACTGAATAGTATTCCATTGTGTATATATATCATTTTCATTCCTCCCTTCCCTCCCTTTTCCCTTCCTTCCTTCCTTCTTTCCTTCCTTCCCTCCCTCCCTCCCTCCCTCCCTCCCTCCTTCCTTCTTTCCTTCTTTTCAAACTGGGATTGAACTTGGAAAGGTGTTCTACTACTTGAGACATGCCTCCAGCTACATTTTCCTAATCTAGTTATCTATTGATGGACAATTAACTTGATTCCATATATTCGTGTTGTAGGTGGTGTTTCAAGGAACAGGAGAGAGCAGACACATTTCAACACATATCTTCCTTTGGCCATATTCCCAGAAGTGGTATTTACTGATGATACATTCTTAGTGTTAGCAACCACTGGCTCTGGCAATCTTGCCTCTCCCATCTCCAGTAAAGTCTTGGAGTCCCAAAGGGACCAGTAGGATGACTTTGGTCCTTTGCTTGTCCACAAGGCACACAATCATCCATACTTACAGAGAAACCTGCCATGACTGGAGGAATAGGGCAAACCATCAAAATCCTAAGTGGCATGCATGCATATGGTATGCCAAGGGAGAGCTGCCTGGGAAGTAAGTACGAGGACCTCAATTTTTCTTAATTGAGAATAGTCAGCAGGAGTGTGGTTTCAAGACCGAGCAGGTGTGTGGGATTGGATTGTCAAGTTTCTCGGCCTTGAATTGTTTGCTCCATAAGGAAATGCAGCTATAGGGTAGAGAATAAGGCAGAAGGAAAGCAGAACAGCAGTGAAAACAAGAGAACAATTTATTGAGTGGGTGCCAGTCAGTGTGGACACCTGTCTGGTTTTGTTTTGTAGTGAGTAGAATTTTCTTCCTGTTCTTGTGCCACCTAGAGCTTTGGGACTTGAACCCTTCTGAGTTCTAGAGCACTTCCTTTCATAGGGAGAGGGCAATGTGCGGCCCCCTATGCCTGCCCACAGCAGCACCTCAGCAGGCCGTCCTCAGATCCTTCAAGGCCATGTGATTTTGCCTGCCTTCTGACTTCCTTCACAACTGCCTTGCTTTTCCTCTCTAGAAGCTCACAAAAACATTTGAAAATTCCTTGCATTGTCTGTGTGTTGGGGGGGGGGGGCCTTGAACTCAGGGTCTGGGTGCTGTCCCTGAGCTTTTTTGTTCAAGGTTAACATTCTACCTCTTGAGCCACACCTCTATTTCTGCTTTATTACTATCATTATTACTATTATTATTATTGCTGGTTAATTGGCAATGAGAGTCTCATGGACTTTCTTGCTCTGGCTAGCTTTGAGCTACACTCCCCAGATTTCAGTTTCCTGACTAGCTAGGAGTGTAGCATGGGCCAACAGCACCTGAGTACATTGTGTGTGTGTTTTTTTTAAGGGTTTTAAAAATAGTGATTGTAAAGGTGATAAACAGAGGGGTTACAGTTACATAAGTCAGATAATGAATATATTTCTTTTTTCTTTCTTTTTTTTTTTTGTCAGTTGTAGGGCTTGAACTCTGGGCTTGGGCACTG